CATATACCTAGTAGAGAAATTGCAGGATCATAATGTATTTGCATCTGTGTCAGGAAGCAGCAAAGTGAGTTCCACAGTGATTGTACAATTCCAGTCCCACTGGCAATATAGGAGTGATCTAATCTCTCCGCATCCTCTCCACCATTTATAACTGTCTTTTTGAATTTTGCTAAAAGGGTTGATGTGAGATGGTCTCTCATTATTGTCCAAATCTACCACTTTGTAAAAAAAAAAAAAAAAAGCCTGAGATAGGAAGCTGTGTATGAAAATGGTTGATATTTTTCAATAAGAAAAAAAAAATCACATAGCCCTCTGCGAACAAAAGGAGCTTGTGAACTAGATGCATTTCGGGGGTTGCAGCAAGTCAGCCTCAGCTAGAAAGTTCTGGGTTTCCTGAAAGTACAAAGCAGAAAACCATGCAGTGCGTCCACCAGATCTGACCGAAAGGACTCCTTGGTGAGAAAAGAGACGCACTTACTTGGATTAGAAGCGGAGAGCTTTGTTCTGAATCTAAATTCAGAGTGTGGTTTATTAGCTGAAGGATTCTGTATAAGTTACATAATTAAACTCAAGCTCACTGCCAGTCAATTACGACTCGCAGCGACCCATAGGATAGAGTAGAACTGCCCCCCCAGCCCCCACCTCCCCACACACAGACAGGGTTTCCAAGACTGCAAGTCTTTAAGGGAGTGAAGATTTCATCTTCCTCCCTCTCAGCAGCTGACCTTGCAGTTAGCAGCCCCACTCAGAACCCACAATGTCGCCAGGCCGCCTCACAATCAAACTAAGCTGTGGGCTATTCATAAAATGGGCATAAGCATGCTAGACCTTCTGATTAGGCAGACCGACTGTGAAGAGCTGATGAGATCATCAGGTGAGAAAATGTTATAAATGCTAAAGAATCATGCAGCTAAGACTTTCGAATGTGAACTTCTTGAAGGCGCGAGTAGGCTGTACTCAGCACACAGACACGCCTAATAACCAGTCTCTAAAGAAGGGGCCTTTGACTCCTGGAAAGAGTTAGTCTTGGAAACTCACCAGGCAGTCCTAGGCTGTTCTACAGGGTCACTTTAAGTCGGCATCAATCCGATGGCAGCAGGTTTGGTTTGTACTTTATTGAATATAAATTCAAAAATTCTTGTAATCCAAATTTAGAGAATCCATCTTTTTAATGACCAACTGGGGTAGTTAGTTCCTGTTAACTTGAAGAAAGACAAAAGTGTGGGTCACAGTCTGATGATGCCTTCCTGGCGGGGCGGGGCCTACTCATAAGGCAGGCGCTGGGAACCTCTCCCATCGCTCTCAGCTTTCACCTTCCTGCTGGCTGACCCTGGTCGCTGTCAGAGCCCTGCAGCGGCTCCACCACCATGGGATGCAAAAGACTTTGCGTCCACCGGCCTGTGATATTCCTGCTTTTTGCATTATTGCATGTGGCTGTGTGAGTCTGAAGTGGGACTTATGGACGTGAGTTGGACGGGCTAGGATGTTTTCTTGGTTTAACTAATTCTTGATATAAAGCTATTTTTTACACATATGAGTGTCACTGGATTTGTTTCTCTAGTCAACCAGCCTAACACTCCAACCAACCAGTTTGCATAACTATGAAGTACAGGAAATAATCCATATGGCTGGCTCATGTTAAAACTATGAATCAAAGACCCCAGATGTAATGAAATTACATGTTGAATTGTGCAGAATTTTTCCCCTGTGGAGATGCACATAATTTGTCTGGTAGCAAAGTTAACCACTTATTGCTTTGAAGGACATTAACTAGTTTTGTGTTTAATTCAAAAATAGGATGCTAGTAATTCTGATTTGCTCTATTTATACCTAGCTTCTTAATAAGCAATGGTTTGAACAAAAATCTTT